AGGGTGTAGGAGGTCTGGGTGAAGGCGGGGGCGTTGTCGTTGACGTCGGACACCAGCACGGTTATGTTGTGCTCGGTTTTCAGCCTGGGGGTTCCCATATCGGTGACGGTGATGGTGATGTTGTACTCGGCTCTGCTCTCTCTGTCCAGCGCTCCTTCTGTTACCAAGGTGTAGAAATTTTCTACAGAAATTTTCAGAAGGAATGGGAGATGGTCTTGGATGTAACACATCATTTTGCCATTGTCCCCGGCGTCTGGATCTGAAATTCCGAAAATAGCGACCACAGTGTCAGGGGTGTTTTCTGGGATATCATTCATGAGTAATGACATGGTCAATTCAGGGGCGTTGTCGTTTACATCCGTCACTTCTATGGCTACAGTGCATTTTCCTGAAAGACCCCCGCCGTCTGAGGCCTCAATTTCCATACGGTAAGATCGAATTTCCTCAAAATCCAACATTTTTTTTAATCGAATATCCCCCGTTACTGTGTTGATTTCAAAGGCCTGAATGACTTGATTTGATGATTGGAAAAATGAGTAGGAGAGCTCTCCGTGGGTCCCAGCATCCAAATCTCTGGCAGAGACAGTGATGACAAGGGAGCCTATAGGGCTGTTCTCTGGGATCTGCACCTCGTAGAGCTGCCGAGCAAATTCAGGGGCGTTGTCATTTATGTCCAGGACCATGATGAGAACCTGGGAAGTCCCAGTCTTTGGCGGTGACCCACCATCCAGCGCCGTGAGGGTTAACCTGAGCTCTGGCTGCTCCTCACGGTCCAGCTCTTTGGCCAGCACCAGCTCCGGGTATTTCCTGCCGTCGCTGCGATTTCGAGTGAAAAGGTGGAAATGGAAGTTGGTGCTAATTGTGTAGTTCTGAACTGTGTTACTGCCCACATCTAAATCTTGAGCTATTTTCAAAGGAAATGCGGCTCCTGTATGGCTACTTTCTGAGATTTTCAGTAGAATTTCATTTTCCAGGAACTCAGGGGCATGGTCATTTACGTCTTGGAGCTGTAATTCACCTTGAATAAACTGCACCGGGTTTTTCAGTAACACCTGGAAATGCAGTATACATGGATCCATGTCACCGCACAACTCTTCCCGGTCCAGTTTTTCTTTTAGGAGCAAATTCCCACTCTTGTGCTCGACTTGCAAATGCTGTTTATTCCCTTTGGAAAGAATCCGGGCGCCCCGCGAGGCCAGCTCTCCTAAGCCCAACCCCAGATCTTTTGCTAGGTTGGCCACAAATGAGCCGCTGTGTCTCTCTTCTAGAACGGAATACTTAATGACCGCACCACCCACCTCCCACAATAGTAATAGAATAATAATGGCAGTCACTTGCCTTTTTTGCGTCGCTTTGGGTAGCGGCGTCTCCATGGTTCCTCCGGGTCTAAAAGATGCAGTATTTAATCACAAAATAATTGTTTTGCAGCCAACTCTGCTATCTTGGTTCAGTAATCTTGAGTTAGCTCTTAACGTTGACAGGGGGATAGCCGCCTCTCTGAAATCTTCTTTACCCATCAGTGTAAACGTTTCTTTTGTGAGCTGCCAGAAACGGATCGGTTTTTATGGAGTCTGGGAGCATGCAGCGACAGTTTTTCACTTTCTTAACCTGCAGCGCCACCAAGCGTTCTGCTTCACAACTTCAGGTAGTCTTTATTTCAAAGAGTAATGTAATAATAGCTAAACTGCATTGAACACCTTTTGGGTCATAGAGTGTTATAAACTCCTTTCCCCCTCACCTGTGATGCAGTTTTGTTCAAGTATCTAACAACAGTTGTGAGAGCAAAGTAATAACTATTTATCTATATATTCATCTTCTCTATAAAGGTACAAGTTCAGTAGACAAAACTGGGCTCAAGATAATTTTATTTATTTATTTAATAAGTATTTCTCTGTGCAGGAATTTTTCTAGCTTCTCAGGATAAAGCGGTAAATTAAACACAAAAATTCTTGCTCTCGGGAGCTTACATTCTATTACAAAAATACTAATTTGTTCTATCGTGTTAGAAGAAGTTATAAAATTTTAAATCCAGTTTCTACTCCCAGTCAAATTGCAGTGTGCCTGTAACTTCTGAAAAATGTGATTTCTTTTCAGTCTCTGTATACATAACCTTGGGAAATTTTTTTTCCTTCATAAACTCATTGTGTGCATAGCTCACTAAAGTTGAGAAGAAATGCCCATTTGTTTTATTGGAAATCAGTAAGTTCTGAATTCAGGCAATGTCTTTCTGCAAACATGAAGAAGGCAATAAAGCCAATGAAGTCAAACATATACTTTCTAGGGAAGGGCCTATCCCAGTGTACACCCTCTGGGACTGTGCAGATGGGGTTACTGAAAAAATCCACTGCAACAAGTAAAGCCATGTGGTTGGAGTAAGAATAGCAGAAGAAGCAGTTCCCCCAAAGAAGAATGGAGGAGGAGAGGGGAAATATCTGGGAATACAAAACAGTAAGGGTTTCCTACACTCATTGAATTGATCAGTAATCATCCCTGACAAAAGAGCCATGATAGTTCATTTATTTGGACACAGAACACAGCTAAATATAATTTAGTTAAGCCCAGT